AGGCAGAACTAGGCGGTGGAGGTTAAACTGACTAGAGGCAGTGCCTCCCCCCCTACACTGCTATTGTTTCAGTCTGTCTGGCTGCAGATTCAATAAGACAGCAGGGTATTGATTTCCATTGTGAAGGCGATCACGAGACGGGCTAGAAACTTCTTTTTAATTGAAAGCTCAGATCCCGGAGACTTCGGCAGGGAGAGAGGGCCTGGGGGTGGGAGCTCACGGCCCACAGCTGCTCCCCACATCCAGAGAGAGGTTTACCTTGCTTGACTCCCAGCCTGCAGGAAACAGCAGGAGCATCTGCTCCGTTCCACCGCCGAGCGAGGCCACAGGCAGGATGGGAGAGGGAGCTTCTTGGAGCGGCACCTGCTGAGCACCGCCGCCCTGCCTGGCTCTGTCAGGCCTGGCTGCATGGTCCGGGCAGCCAGGGAGGGGGCCGGCTCTGCTGTGGTGTCAGGGCTGTTGTTGCCCCACAGGGCTGCATTTCGGAGCCAGTCCCGAAGGGTGCTGAGCTGCTTCAGGGCAGTGCGGAGCACTGCGGGCAGCTCACGGGGTCAACCCCTTTGTCCCTTTCCATGGAGTGGAAGTGAGCCCAGCTAAGGCCCGGGAGCAGCTCTAGGGTAGCGGGTACCGCACGGACGCTCTCCATCCCTTTCAAACTCTTCCACCTTGCTTCAGCACCTGCCCAGAAGCCCCGTACAGTGCCGCTGGCATACCTCGCCCTAGCTCTGGCCCATGCACGGCTGGGGCACTGCAGCCGGGTAGCGACTCACAGCACTGCTGCTCTCCGGGGCTGGCTGTGGAGCAGTGCATACGGCGTGGGGGAAAGGGCTTGAGGCAGGGATTGCTGTGCACTCATTTCCCTTGTGACCCAGCGCCCCCATATGTCCAGGCTTCTGCCTCCGGTTGCAGCGCGGAGGCAAGGCACCACACCAGGAATTTTGCCTCCTGCATGACCGCCGGGGGTCTGGAGGGCAGCCCCTGGCTGTTGCTCTGCCCTCCGTGTGCATACGGGGGACGGGGGTTCTCCAGGCCTCTCCATAACGAGATCCCTGGCCTGTGCCAGGGCGAGGCCTCGGGGTGGTCCAGCACAGTGAGAAGGTCAGCCGCTCAGAGGTTCCTCTCCCACAGCACTCGTGGCCGCGTGGGCTTGCTCCTGCCGGGGCTGATAGACCTCCTGGAGCAGCCTGAGCAGCCAGCGCCTCCTCTTCCAGGTCTGGCAGGTCCCCGTGACCATGGTGGGATGCTGCAGGGATGTTGGCCTCCATCTCCATGTCCAAGGCTGCATTGCAGTGCTGCAGACCAGGCCAGCAGCCCCCCTTCACCTTGCGGGGCAGAGCTCTCTGGGAAAGCCGCTGACCATCACCTGGCATGAGTGGCTGCAGCTAGGAGATGGAAACAGGTGCCTTGTGGCTGGAGCGGAAGGGGGAGGCACGGGATACCAGGAGCCCGTCTTCTGCTGCACAGCTGTGCCTGCGTGCCTTGGCTGCTCCGTGCCTCAGTTTCCCCGCTTGTGAACGGGACCGTGAAGGGCAAAAGGTTTGGGTCGCTGCGGGATCGTCCTCATCTGTGCTGCCTCCTGGGGTCAGGTGACAAGTGCTGGCTCCCCTCCATGGCCACCTCTGTGCTCCCAGGGCTGTGAGACAGAACGTGCCCTGGGCCGGCGCTGCCTGGGTGTCCCCAGGCTGTGTGGGTGGGTGGGATCAGGACCGGAGGCAGCTGAATCGCATCCCCCCCCCACCACATCATCCCAAACCGCTGGTCAGATAAGAGGTCGTCCCCATGGCAATGGCCTGCTCCTGAGGCCTGGCGGCTCGGCGCTCAGGCCCGGAGGCTGGGAGCCCAGGCGCGGGGGCGGAGGTTGCCTCTGGCCGAGTGGCAGGGGAAGGAATGTCTGACGTGCGCCCGAGCCAGCGCGGGCTGTGGGAACGGCTCTCGCCCGGCCCTGGCCCGCGGCCCCGCTCCGGAGCCGTGGCACCAAGGGGCAGACGGGCCTGGCTGCCTGGAGGGGCTCTGGGCACGCGCCCGCATCTCCCAGGGCTGAAGCCAGTTTGCATGGAGCAGGGGGCAGAGGGCTGGGAAGGATCTCCATGCTCGAGGGGTGTTTTCCCTGCACTAATGAGCTCCCTTGATGCTCTGGGGGGGAAGCCCCCGCCGCTCCCACGGCCGGTGGAGCCAAGTCTTGATAAAGCAAAAGGCCAAACCTCCTCCCTGACCCCAACCAGGCCATGGCCCCGGCATTAAAACCCCTCATGCTTTTGCACTAGCCAACCTCACGGCCGCCCAGCCACTGGCTCCAGCGCTCATAAGCACCTGCCCGCTCTCCCTCCCCGCCCGCAGGCTGGCGAGACCCATCTTTGATGGCCCCCAGCCGTGGGGCCCGTCGCTGCCCTCGCCCCTTGGGCTGCCCGTCGCGCTCCCCCCGCTCTCTGCCTGGTCCCAAACTCGCGCACCGGGCAGGGCTCCGGGAAGCGCGCAGCGCTGCGTGGTATGCGTGTCACCCTGACACGGCCGTCTCCCCCGCCGCTGCTCCTGGGACAGGCTGACCCAGCGTGCAGCGTTCTCCCAGGCTGTCTTGAAGGCAAAACAACCCAATTTAGGTCTCGCCGGTTGTTGAGCGGAGACACCCAGGCGGGGCCGAGGGACCCTGTCCCCAGGGTCACAAGAGCCTGCTCCGGGGGGGTGTCCATTGCCCGCTGTGCTACACGTGTGGGTGGTGCACGGTGCTGCCAGTGGCCAAAGCCACCCACGAGCACCCAGGGATCAGGGTCACTGCACGGGTTACAGCGAGGGCGCATCAGCTCTCAGTGCCGGCTGCAGGGCGGGGGGGAGCCTGCAGCCTGGGAGGTGCAGCTGGGACTGCTGGGGGAGGTTTTGTCAGCTCCGAGTCCCCCTTGCTAATCCCACTGCCCCAGGCCTCCTGTCCTCAGGAGCTTTGCAGGCACTCTTGGAGGCTGGCAAGGGGATCTTCCTCCCACGGGGACCCCCTCAGGTCTGGGGCTTTCCCAGCTGGGGAGCACATCACGGAGCAGAACCGGCTTGGCCCCTTCTCTCCTGCCAAGCCCTTTCATCCGCCTCTGCTAACCTCCCGCCCAAAGCCCAGTGCTTGTGCTTGGCCTGGCCTTGCCCCAGCTGTTTGGAAAAGTAGCAATAATTAATAATAAAGGAGAAGGGGGGAAGGGGGAAGAGTCTGCTCTTAAAGCGACAGCCCGGTATTTTCACAAGCGGCTTTCATTTGCCAAACCCACTTCCATGTGTCGCGTAAGGGGCCCTTTCTCCCTCTCCTTTGCTTTCGCCCTCCTGCCCCAGAGGCCTTGCTTTGATTTTTTTTTTTTTCCACTCCTTTGTTCCCTGCTCGCCGGCCCTCCCCCTCCTTGGCCTCTTTGGTGGGACAGGGAAACGCTCTCCACCATTTCTGCTCCGCGTGGCCCCAGCGCGGGGCTCAGTGTATTTTAATTGAACTGTCTTTCCACCGAGATATATGCTTTAACCGCACTCGGCTGCTGGGGCGTCCTGGGAAATCCAGCTGTAATACAGAAGAGCTAAATGAAAAGGAGCCTGTGGGCCCCTAAAGGGGAGAGGGAGGGGAGAGGAGAGGTGTTTGGGGGGGTGGGGAGCAGAGGGAGATTTGCAGTGGGACCTTATCAGAAGTAACCCTCCCGGCGGTTTGGGGGGCCATGAGTTGGGAGAATGTGGTTTGTAGGAAATAAATTAATTAATAGGAGTAAGGAAGGTGCTGAAACGGTAACGACACCTGTGGGACGCCCCTTGGGGACTGAGAACGGGCTGGGACCAGCACAAGCTGACAAGCTGTTTGTGCAGGAAGCCAAGCAAAGCTTCACATGTTCCAGCCTCAGCAGCGTGCCGGCTGCGTGGGACGTCCCGGGACGGGGCCAAGTGGCCACGGGCAGGCCGGGGGCTTGCTCTCCCTGCGAGAGGTGGCACGGAGCGGGTGCCCTTGCTTCACGCATGGCAAGCTGGATAGAGCTTGGTGACCTTAGCTGGGAGCCTGGAGAGAGGGTGTGGGAGCGCATGGGAGTGGTGTGGGGTGCGTGTGGGGCGGGACGGCACATGTGCGCACGCTTCTCACTGGGCACGTGCACGTGTGCGCCCACCTCGTGCCTGAGTGTCGTGCACACTAGCGGTTCTGCATGGGGACCGTTTGTTTGGCACATCCAGCCTGACATCTCCAGTGAAAGGAGCAGGGATGACTCAGATCAGTCCCTAGCACAGACAGCGCGCGCCAGAGAAGCCCGGGTTAAAAAAAGCAAGAGGAAGGGGGAAAAAAAACCCCTCCTGCCTGGGAGTGCGGCGCAGTTTGGCTCCCAGCAGGCGTCTGGCGTGATGTGTGAGACGCACCAGCCAGCGTGCGCTGAAGTGGGGAAGTAGGGCTCGCCGCTGTGCCCCTTGTTACCACCATCTCCATAATCAGCCCTGGGGAAGGATGGGGAGAGATGGGTCTCCTTGCAGAACAGGAGCCGCAGGGGCCAGTGTGGTGGCCTGCAGGGCCCCCTGGCTCCAAGGAGCAGGGCCTGGCCCAGGGGTTTTAGGGCCATGACACAGCGTCAGCATGCACCGGGGTGCCCCTACATTGTAAAGTGTCCCCCCCCATGGGAGGGGGGGTGTCCTTGCTTACCCACAATGCCTTGTGCTGGGGGGGGCCAGGGAAAGACCTCCCTTCCCCTGGTTCAGAGGCAAGCTTGTGGATGCCGGCACAGCCCCCTTACAACCCCCCTGAAGGAAACCCTCCTTGTTGGCCAGGGGGGGCAGAGCGAGGGGCAGAGGAGGGATTCCCTGTAACGGTCCTCCAGGAGAGGCCGGGGGGAGCTGGCATGGTGGGGGACACCATCCGCAACAGCCACGGATGGGGCTGCAGCGGGGCCGACGACCGCCTCTCTCCCGCGTGGCGCAGGCCCCCCTCGGATGCAAGCAGCATGTTCGTGAGGGGCTGGTGGAGCCGCCATCCCCTCGCCCTTGTATTGGGCAGGCGTCGCCTGCCACGCGGCACGCAATCGGCTGAGCGGCCTCCGCGAGCAAAGACGGGAGGCAGGTGCTGCCTTGCGCCTAACACAATCGGGGCTAGGAAATCGGGACGCTTGATGATGGCTGTGCCTCGCTGCGCTTCTAATAGACGGCTGCTTGAAGGAGCAGACAGATTCCAGATGGTATCAGACCAATTGAGGAGGTTATTGGGAGTGGAGGGGGGGGATGTCTGGAGGAGAAGGAGGGAAGGCAAGCAGAACCAGGAAGTCGAAATGATTTCGTGTGGCAGAGCCCGTGTTCCTGTCCTCAAGTCGTAACTCCAGGCGCGGTAACCAGATCACAGGATCCCGGGCTCCCAAGGGGGGGCGTGGGGAGGAGGAGGAGGAGGAGGAGGAGGATGGCTCCGCGAAGCGCTTTCCAGCAGCTCGGGGCCGGGGGAGCAGAGGCGTGAAGCAGGGCTCGGCCCGGTGGGGTTGCCACCTGCATTGTTTGGCAGCCGAGATGCTCAGGCAGGAAGGGCAGGCTCCGCGCTCCCGACCCCGAGGGTGTCACTAGGCTGCAGCTGCTTGGAGAGGGAGGAATGGCGGGGGCGGGAAGGGGGGGATCGG